TTGTCTTTAAAAAAAGTTATCTATTTCTAAGTGGTTTTCAAACGGTCTTTAAAATTCATATCAATTTCTGCAATTTATACAACTTATCTTGACATACCAACCAATGATACAGAACTTCTATTGGAGTAAAAAAATCTTAATACCATGTAAAACGTAATATGCTTCTTTCTACAAACAGAAGAGAAGGAGACAGTCTATGGACAGTACCCAGGGCTGAGCCATCGGCTGCAGTGAGTTCACAGGCCACTAGGTGGAGCTCTGTTAGGGAGGGCGGCAGTTTTCCCTCAAGGTCTTGAAGAGCACCACCGCTCAGAGAGTTCCAGGACAAATCCAGGACCTCGAGTGAAGGCAAGAAGCTCAGGGCATCACCTGGAGATACACACAGGCCTTTAGAGGGAACCCTGTTGATTAGAATGTGCCCTGTGTCATACAATCAAACTAAATCACAACAGCAGTCGTCTAGAAGAATGAAGGATCATTTTATAGGCTGTGGATCCAGGACTCAAAACTCATAAAAGTAAATCAGTACAACCATGACTCTCTTATTCAACCATATACAGCACAAAACTCATTATATAAAAACACAAAATGTCCACATTCAAGTATCTGCACTATAGAGTGTCCATGCCCTTCCTGACTCAGAATCACAATCATTTTTATTGCCACGTACGTAACAGTGTCTTTGGCTCAGTGCAACAGTCAGAAAGAGAGGTAAGGGGTAGAGAAGGCATAATAAAATAAAATAAAATAAAATAAAAAATAAAGATAAGAAAAAAAAAAATCAGCAACACTAATTATTAAAATTACTATATACAATATACAAGTGCACATGGTACACACAAGATCAGATGACAGCAGTAAAGTGACCACAGGAAGGGCACATGTATGTATAAAAATGACACACATTGGCCACATTGCTATATAAGAACAGATTCTTGGCTTCTGGAAGATCCTACCGAGTGCATTCATATCTTGTTGGTCGAGTTTACAGCCGTGGAGCTTCAGAGCGAACACACCGGTCATGGGGCTGAAGTGGGAGGTGAGTGCACGAAGACTTCCACCAATCAGATGGTTCCAGGACAGATCCAAGTCCTCCAGCTGCGGAGCATAGTGCAGCAGCGTGCCTGAGTCCACAACAGAGACGTGTGATGAACAATCTGTGACGACCTTGTTCCCTCATCACAAAGATCACTGCAGTTGTATAAATGGACAATGCTAACGCCCTAGCTTAAGGATCCCGGTGTTCATATTTTGACACTGTAAATATAGATATGAGCCATATAAGGGTTACCTCCAGCTGGCCTTAGCAACCATCTTAGCAACACATTTTTCTCCTCGCTCATATAGTTTCTCCTTTGTTCCTGTAGTAGGAGCTTAAAGGAGCAACTCAACTTTCTCTGACTCAGGTTGCCAGATATGCAGACAAATCCGCTGTGACCGATTTGACAATAGTTTTGTCAACAACAAATCTTTAACCAACACCTTTTTCACAAAGATAGAAATCTCTGTTTTATGTCTTGTTTTGTCGTTAATGATTTTAGAATTATAAGATCTTTTTAGTTATGTGGCCAAATGTTTTTTTTACCTTTATTTAACCAGGAAAATCCCATTGAGATGAACAACCTCTTTTTCAAGGGTGTCCTGGCCAAGAGGCAGCAAAGTTACACGTAAACACAACAGACCGATACAATTACATAAAAAATGACAGGTATACAGACTAACATCAAGACAATAATGTACAGATAAATGTCACTCACTTTACCAGTGAGATTAGCTCAATGTGGTGCATTCTGGCGCCCGGATCACAGACTTTCTGATTGGTGAAACGGTGGAGGGCGGGACATGGAAATTAAAACAATAATAAGATTTAGGGGCTGTAAAACTCATTTAAAAATTCAAATCTCTCTGAGCTTCTGTTGTCAGTTAAAGAAGGATTGGAAAAGAGCAGTTTATTAATTCCTTTTGACAGATTAGGGCCTTTTAACGATGACCTAACATGAAAATCTTACATATTGCTACTTTAAGTTGTAAATGATGGATTTGTTTGAAAGTTAATGCACAAAGAGGGACACACTCAGAAATACAGGTCAAACATAAACGGCTCTAATACGCCGAGCTCTGTATAGCTCGGCGTATTAGAGCTGTAACTATTCAGAAAGCTCACTGTTCAAGTGAGCAATACGTTTGCAATAATACAGAGTGTAAAATAACAGATGGTAGAGTAATGTTTTGAACACACAGACTAAATAGAACCTGCACATTTACCCAGTTCAAGCAGGTCTGTGACGGTGAGGTCACAGTGCGACAGGCTGATCCTCCCTTTCTCCGTCTCTGATCCCATTTTATGAAGAAAAGCACGAACCCGCCCCCAGCCAGGCTCATTCTCCCCATCAGCCGCCTCTGGAACATAGACAATGTTTTTAGTCTAAACATTAATAAATGTGCTGTCCACAGTTGTCAACGTCGGATCTTTTCCCCCTACAGCCCCATGTTTTATGGCATTGGTGTTGAAAGGCCATGTCTACCCAGGACAGCAAGACCTTAGACCCATGTCAACTTTTCACCCTCGAGAACACAGGAATGTGTCAAAATAAACAAACTCCCGACATTCAAAATAAGTCCCAGGGAAACACATGATGGTGGACTAGATAGATAGATAGATAGATAGATAGATAGATAGATAGATAGATAGATAGATAGATAGATAGTGTTCACTTTAGGTCAGAGCAGCAGAGGTGTAGCCGCTGGGACTGTGGCGGCTTATCGTCCATGTGGAGCAATGTAAACATCTTTAAACAACAACACAATCTGTGTGTGCGTGTGTGTGTGTGTGTGTGTGTGTGTGTGTGTGTGTGTGTGTGGCCTTAATAATAATAATATAAAAGATAAGACAAGATAAACCTTTTTTCATCCCTCAGTAGAAAATGTCCATGTAAAATAAAAAATAAATAAATAAATGCGTACATCAAACCGAAACTATTATTTAAGACGATAAATATGTCGAGTGGCTGCTATTGATCACAGCCACAGGGGGCACGGTGGCTGAGTGGATAGCACTCTTGCTTTTCAGCAAGAAGGTTCTGGGTTCAAATCCCGGTTCGGAACAGGACCTTTCTGAGTGGAGTTTGCATGTTCTCCCCGTGTCTGCGTAGGTTTCCCCCTACCACTAAAAACATGCACAATAGGTCTGAATGTAAATGAGAGTGAATGATGGTGTTGGGTCAGAGGCTTTGATGGTCCAGTGTGTTCTGGACTCGCTTCCGTCATCACCGTGTGTGGAAGGATTGGAACAATATCTGACTCTGAACATTGTAAAGTGCTTTGGGTCTGTACCTTGGTCTGTAAAATGTGCTATATAAATAAACATTACTTACTTATCTACTACTTACATAATATAATAATAATGTCAAAAACTAATAATGATATGGTACAAAATCCATCCAAAACAGCATTGAAGGATATAGATTGTTTTATGTACTAAAATGGCGTTGACTTTTGGCTGTTACAGAGAATCATGGGTAAAATAAAAAGAGGATCATGAGCTAGTATTTCACATTTTTTACAGAGGAATTACACATGTACTAAAAAGCAGTACCGTGGCTCACCTGGACTCTGAACCTTCCTGTGAGCCTCTCGGTTCCCTGTTCGGTCTGAGGCCCAGGACAGGAGCCTCCCCAGGGGTCTGCGGTCCGAGCGCTTCCTCCGGATCTGGTTCATGATGACGTCCAGTGGAAATCTCCTCACGCTGCCGCTGTCCTGAGGCCGCTGCGCCCCTGTCCAAACACACACAAGTTATTTATGCTGTAAAACTAGTGCCACAATGTGTTCATTACTAATCTTTAAACAAAAACATGGACCATACAAGTTGTAATAACCCAGGGGCATCAAACACCGCCCATATTAGGTAAAAAGAATGGAATTGACCTGATGTCCTGTAGAATATTAGGCAGGAGATACGTAAACTAGATGAGGAAATGTACATTGTTGTTACTACCACATTTCAAAGTTTTAATCGCTGATGGTTTTTGTTTTTAATTTGAAATGTATTACAGTAAAGGTCCATAGACTATTCCCCAGACCAACGATCCATCCAAAATCACCAAGTGCCGTATGAAAAACATGGCCTTCAGAGTACCACAATATCAAAACTAAGTCTAAAACTGGGTTGATAATAAACCTGGGCTTCCTAACTTAAATAATGAATTGTGTTTGTCCTGGTCCTCTCTTTTTCACTTTTCTGACTGAAAAGCTGATTTAAAGATAAGATAAGAATTCCTTTATTCGTCCCACAGTGGGGAAATTTCGATGTTGCATCGCACATATAGGACAGTAGTAAGAGCACACAGGGAGCACACACAATATATACACTATATACAAATTGGTAGATCAAGATAAACAACATACATACGAAAACTAGTGGGAGCGAGGAACTAATTATGGTGATTCATGACAGAATTCTATGTCTATTGAAACTATGAACCCCAGCTTTAAAACTATACAATAAGACAACGGATTTTTCATTGTTCTAAGTGCAATAAAACACCAACGCAGAAATAGGAATTCAGACCCCTAGACTGTATTTATTGTTAGACCGTACAAGACTAATACTGTTTGGCCAGTACGGGGATCGAACCCGCGACCTTGGCGTTATTAGCACCACGCTCTAACAAACTGAGCTAACCGGCCTTATAATTGCTCTGAATTTTAGAAAATTCATTACTCGTAGGCAGTGTATTATAAATGCATCAGTGAGAAAAATATGTTGTTTCATTGTTTTGTAAAAATCAAGAGAACACGTAAATAACCTCTATCAGACCGGAAGCGTCACTCACCCGCAGCAGTAGGACACTCCATCTCCAGGAAAATAATGGGAAAGATTTGTCTCGATCAGAAATCTGTTTGAACGGCAGAAAACACAGTGCAGTGTTCAAATCTCGGGGTTGATGTATTTGTTGAAGCAGCTTTTGTTTCGCTGTTGTGGTTCTTGACCCTTGGATCTCTCATCGTCCATCACGTGCTGCTGAGTGCAGGGTCCCGGGGCCAGACACCGCAGGTTTGGACTCCTGCACCTGAGCGTCTCGTGTGCGTCCCGTGTGCGTCAGGTGTGCGTCAGGTGCACCATCCCGGAAGAGAAGCCACCGCGCACACTCCTGACAATGGAATGTGTTTCTTATGAATGTGTTATAGACAAGAGGAACAAGAATAACACGCAACAAACACAACCAAGTCCCGCCTGCACTTAACTAGAATAACAATGATTTCCAAAATAAATACATGAAATGAAATTAGATGAAATATGACATTGGTTTAGAGCTATATATATATGTATAGATCATGATCACTATATTGTTTCAAAGACATTGTTTAGAGTAGACTTAAAACAGCAGCTTACAAGGTGCTAAACCAGGATATAAACAATAGACTGATCAGCTCATCTATTTGAAGATCCCCTTGCTTTTTGCACAATAAACATGAACATTTTGATTTACTAACTAACCAATGTGAATATATATTTTTAATTCATGTATATACTATGTACGGAGGGAGTTGGATTAATAAATCGCAATGAGAACTTCCCTGTTGGGCTTCTTTGAGTTAGTGTTAGCATCGTCCATCTGTCTTTGCTCTGCCTGCATACAAAATACCTTTTACTATTTTTCCTTGTCCTTTAATATCTACTTCTATGAGTCAGGGTTATTCAAGTGTTATTTATTTATTTTTGGCCATTTTCAGAATAATTCCATGCTACCAATGTCAATTTGAACCAAACTGATATAACGATAGAAAGGAGAAGGACGAGGAAGATAAGATAATATAAAAAAACTTTACTGATCTCACAATTTACGGCAAACATTTAGCTTCAATATGGTCACTCAGGGGTGTGCAAACAGACAGGAGATGGGCTAACAGTTAAAGCGTAAGAAAGATTTAAGATATAGTGTGTTGAGGAGTGAGTGCTTTCTGAATTGGATGCAGCCTCTTCTGACGCCTCAATCCCGTTCACCTGTTGGCCCTTCACACCTGGGCCCTGATTGACATGAGCAGAGGCAGTGGAGGGATCTGCACCTCCTCACGCTTTTACTGCAGCGCTTTGACAGAAGTGGCCTAGACTTTTCAACATGGGGCATTTCGAACGGTAATCCATGTTCTATTGTTCCTATTTATGAGTACCATTATAATAGTAGTTTTATAATGTTTACTGCATCAGCTGCATATGTGAATAGTTCATATTTATCTAATTTTTGTTTCATCTTTTGGTCTAGATGGTTCATTTTTATTGTAGCAACAAATTGTATCAAAGGTAAGCCTGGAAAAGCCCCATGTATACGATAATATGCGCTGCTTTTTGTGTAAGCTCAGTTGGTAGAGCATTGGCCTTAAGGCCAGAAGGTCGTGGGTTCAATTCCCACCTCTGCACCTTCTCCATCGACTCCCACTGATGACTGCTGTCGTTGTGTCCTTGGGCAAGACACTTAACCCCACTTTGCCCAAAGCCCCCACTGAAAGATCAAGGCTATGCTCACACTCAAAGAGCAGCCGTCCTCCTGTGGACTCACCACCTGCAGAGGGTCAGTGAGGGGCTGGTGCTATGAGACTTGGGTGGCATCTCTGACTGCCACCCCCCTGACCCAGAAATGGATTAAAGGGTAGAAAATGGATGGATGGATGGATGGATTTTAAAACTTATTTGCAGGCTGTGTTGGATTTGTAAACCCTCAGCCTTGGCAGCCGTGGGTTCCATGGCATCCCAAGCCCTATTTTCCCAGGCAGTTCGGTGCACCCTTTTTACCACCAGTGAACCAGGCAAGTACTGCAAAATTATTGTCTTTAAATGTCATTGAACACAGAGTATACTTCATAAGCTGGGATACCAAATTTCAAACCAGTATGGAACAAATTAAATCCATATATAGGGGTTACTGCGTTTTTAAAGGGTTTGGTTCTAATCAGAGTCCGGTATCTCACATGTTTTTGACGGGATCTAATTAATATATATATATTTTTTTAATAAAATCTAAATCTGTGGAGTAACAAAAATGTACAGAATAGAAAAATATTGCAGCCCTATCCCTAAACGTTAACTACTATTGACTCTAGGTCCTACTATTAATGCAAGGATTTCATACAAGGGGCAACTCAAAATTCTTAATTCCTCACTTTCAAATGAGTGCACACTTTTTCTGGCTGCAAAGACAAGAAACTGTTAATCTCAGGAGCTAAACAATGTTAAACATAAATATATAGATAATTTACCTTCGTTGACAAAGAAGTTTGCAAAGTAAAAGGTCACTTTGACAGCATTTGAAGAGTGTGCATAATACGCTCTGGTCCATTCAAAAGGGTTCTTCTCTGGATGCCACTGAACGCCGTAGATCGGATAATCATACGCTGGAAACACAGACGTGACGTTCTTATGTAAGAGTTTTCATTCAGGATCTGGGTCGACACCTGAACTACTGACACTGAGGGATCGAAGTGGGCTTTTCAACTTCCTTCTCCAGAGCATCTTTAGACGATGCTACCACTTTTAATAAAACTTAGCTGCAGTTATATGAATTATGCCAAACAATGAAAGTGTTGTATTGATTCAACTACAAGCCTTTACCTTCCCACGTGGAAATAAACTCAGTTCTGCCGTCGGTGTTTGTGGACAGCACTTTGTAAAACGTCTTCAAGTCGTCGTTGGAGTTGTACGTCTGTGACACAAGTTACATTCAGTCAATATTGGATCCATTATAAACAAAAACTGACCCAGAAATGGATTAAAGGGAAGGAGTTAAGTTTTTGTTTGTTTGTTTACTTCTTTCTGCATCAGTCTTTTGTTTTAAATAACAAATCTGGAAAAAATGCACACACACATCTCAAGTATTTTGAAGAAAATGATAAGAGCCAAGACTATATAAAAACATTTAAATAAATTAGAGACTTTGTAATGAATGGTGCTAAAAGAATTGTAAAAGATTGTAAGTGGTGCAGGTAAAGTTCACCTCCAGAGAAACACTCCACATGTGAGAGTTTTCGGTCAGAGCCTCGGTCTCTAACGCCCGCATGAGTTCATCTGGGAAATCCTGGAACATGCGGCTCCCTTTGGCCTCTGCAAAAGAGACATAATACATATATAATGCATTTTCTTTATCCAAACAGAAAGAATCTTGTAAAACTAAAAACTTGTGAGCCGTTCAGACCAGAATCAGCCTAACGTATTGTATTTTTGTATTTATTCCAAACATGTACAGACAAAATGTTAACTTCACATGTTTGAAAAGGAGTGGGTGACAGTAAAAACTTATTTAGAACCACCCCTTCTTTTGAAGTCCTCTGAGACGACTGCTGCTTTACAAAATAAATTGAGGTGTACTCGTTTGGGTTCACATAAAGGTTTACCGTTGGTGAAGTTGAGTGGGAGAGTCACGCTGGTGGTATTTGTGTTCACCAGAACGGGCTTCTGTGCCGTCAGATAGGCCAGCTGCTCGAAGCCCAGACACGTGCCCCAGATCGGGAAGAAGTCTCCTTTCTGATTGGCCTGAAATGTAGGTTATCATTTTATCACCAATGTTTTATTTTAATTGTTTGTTTGTCAAATTAAAAACAGTTTAAGTAGCAATATGTAAGATCATCCTTAAAGGGCCCTAGTTTGTCAAAAGGCATTAATAAACCATGCTCTTATCAAATACTTCTTTAACTGATTAAAGCAGTTCAGGGATATTTGGATTGTAAAATTTGTTTTACAGCCTCTAAATCTTGTTATTGTTTTCATTTCGATGTCCCGCCCTCCACCGTTTCACCAATCAGAAAGTCTGATCCGGGCGCCAGAACTCACCGCGTGGAGCCAATCTCACTGGTAAAGTACCATGTGGCTTAGAACTAAAAAAGGTCTCGTTATGATTCTCAAATCATTAACGACAAAACAAGGAATAAAACCAGGATTCCTATCTTTGTGAAAAAGGTGTTGGTTATAGATTTGTTGTTGACAAAACTCTTGTCTATTCAGTTGTTATGGTCCCAGCTGGATTCGTCTGCATATCTGGCAACCTGAGTCAGGGAGAGTGGGAGAGGCTGCAGTACCACTTTTGGCCACTTGTGTACTTACTGCTGCTTTAAAGAAGGCACATGGACCAAAGGACAATATGGAACAATGACATCATACTATTACAGGACTGAGACAGGAGCTTTTAGACAGAAGTTTCTGATATTAGCGAGGATGGATCTAAAAACAACTCGACATGTCTTCACCTCAATCGCCAAATCATAAAATATCTTCGACGATCTGGCATAACCGGACGAGTAGATGCTGACACCCCCTCCTGGCAAAAGGATCCTGAAATGAGGAAAACAACACAATCAAGAATACTTGTGTTGCCATGACGACCCAGGACATCAGTGGAAAAGGTTGTCATGTTGTTTTGAGCCGTTTTTGGATGTTCACCACAGGGAAGACAGGAGCACTTCATATTGGCCCCTAAAGTTAATTTTAAGAAGCATTTACATAAACTTTTCTCTGTGTATTTTGTGTGCTCTTTCTACTGTCCTGTAAATGTCTCTCATCTTATCTACAGGGTTAGGGAATTATCGTTATAAAGGACTTCAGTTTATCATCCTCAGGATAAAAATGTAAATCACAAGTCGACATTGTATCTACTTTTAAAAATATATATTTATTGAAAGATCAACTCACTTCTAATAAATGTATGATCATGGACAGTCATTACCAGTAACGTTCTGTTATTATATAAAACATCTAACATGGCACAATGTATTCTAGTAGAAGATTGTCTTTCCCTTTTATTTATTAGTGAAAAAATTGAAAAATAGACGTACAAAATGAAACATTAACAGTGTGTGTGTGTGTGTGGTAGTAGATTTGCCTGGAGAGATTATCATTTCAAGGCAATACTTTTGATTTAAAAGACAGAAAACCGCTGTAGGTTGAAGACTGAGTTTGAAAACGGAACATTTTAACTGAATGGGACGTGTTTGTGGCAGAAGGTCCTGAAGTTAGAGTGGATGGTGCTAAAGACAACTCCAGGTCAAAATGAGGGAATAATGTTGTTCTAATGGTAAAAAAAAGTCAATCTTGCGTATGATGTGTGTTTAGTGTTCGAAAGGCCACTTCCAGACAATGCACTTTATATATTGCGTGTGTTTTGAGGTAATATTTTCATTTCATTTTATTTATTAGGCAGGAAAGATTTAAAACAAAATCGGGCCTGGCTCAGTACAAACTGATTTTCAGCAGGTTCCTGCTCTGCAGAACACACAAACACAGCATTAACATCACCACTCGACACAAAACATACTGTCACACATAAAAGAAGGAACACACTGGTGTGAGGCTATAGTGTCCGTCACTAGTGGTCACAACAATAGCTGTCCGTCAGATGTTTCAGCATAGTCTTTTTAAAAGGTCCAGGTGACTGTATGGTTCTTATGGTGAGGGGGATCTTGTTCCAGGCCCTGGTGAGCTCACAGAAGAATGAATTTTGTCCGTAGGTGTTCCTGTGGTGAGGTATGGGTAAGATTTGGTTTGTGGTGGATCTGGTTGAACGCTCGGATCGAGAGCTGGGTCTTGGAACCAGAACAGACAGTGAGGCCGATGGGCAGTTGTTGAGCAGGTGGGAGTAGAGCTTAATCCCATGGCTCAGGGCGTAGTTCTGGAAAGTCAAGGCCCCAGACTGTGATAGAGCAGTGCAGTGGTGGGTCCAACCAGGGAGCCTGTGGTGGATCTTATATGCTCTATTGTCTCGCCACAGGTTCTAGTATTTCCTTAGTTGTGAGCGTCCACACTGGGAGACAGTAGGACAGGGTAGAGAGTATGAGTATGAAAGCTGATTTGCATTGTAGGTGGAAATTACGGCGCCCCGATGCGAAACTTCAATTACTTTTATCTTTTGACCACAGAGCAAATGTATGACGCACTCACTGACAACTTCCACTGGGCTAAATTAAAATCCTTCATTTATTTTTTTAACGTTGGCGTCTCTGACGTGTGTGCCGTGGCCGTGGCAACGCAGAGTTTGATTTCATCTGCTACTTTGGCACAACCATGTCGGTTATGGTTAGTAAAAAAAAATACTAAATGTTTGAAATCATTTCTTTGGTCATATTGCTCTATTCATTGTTGCTCACGTATTTTGCTTGCTATGCACAAAACTATAATTACGCACATTGCACGGACCAGGAGATTGAGACCATTATGAACGAAGTGGGAAAAAGAATAAAGTCTTACTATTTGGAATTCTCAAAAGTGGCATCAAGGGTGTGTGTGTCATGTGACTGTTAAAGACACATGTGTGTGTCATGTGACTGTTATAGACACATGTGTGTGTCATGTGACCCAGGACTGAGGCTGTAGATCCAGGACTGAGGCTGTAGACCCAGGACTGAGGCTGTAGACCCATGAGGCTGTGCTGCTGTGACCTAAAATGCAGTTGCATTTTAATACTATTGTTAGCCATTTTTCTAATTATCTATGTATTAGTTTTGTTTGATAGATAGATAGATGGATACTTTATTGATCCCCCGTAGGTGAAATTCAGGTGTCCGGCAGCAGAAACACACCATACAAACACCTCATAGGACCGAGGCTGTAGACCCAGGATTCTGTAGAAGATCCAGGACGGGATCAAAATCAACGCTTTTGCAAATTTCCCCCAACAATCGAAGTAGCCAGAAATAATGTTGTTTTGATTGATTCTGTAAAACTTTCCTGTTTAAGCCCCAGACCGCGGTCGTAGGGCGCAGGGAGGAGCTGTCTTTTTATTTATTTATGTTAAATTCAATTTACATGTATACAACATTTAAATCAAACGACTTCTTATTTCGACACAGTAACAAATAATTTGAGCAATATGTTTTTATAATAAATCAAAGGAAAATGAGCCATCGAGACATTCCAATCCAATCTGCTATAGACCATTCTGACCAGACGATGGCGCTGAGAGGGGTCCACACGGAGCGAGTCTTTCCACGGCTGAAAGGATGCGCTTTCTATACGTGTTGAGTACGGGGTTTTATTCATGCATCTATAATGGGTTTAACTCCCTTTTCAAAGACCCTCACTGTTATCTGCGGAGTTATTTCTCCGGATTGTTGCTAAAAGAGTCGTGGGCTTTATTTTGTCACAGTAAAATAATCAGACAAAGTACTTATTCCCTGTATGTCTCTCTGTGTTCTTGCTCATACGCCAACAACTTTACCCGCACGCTCGCTCCATCAGCTCACCCCCGCGTGCACGCAAACACGTCACATACTCTTCAATGCACTGATCGCAATTCCAAAAGGGTAACATTGTCAGTGCCCGTGACTGTGGTTCTCCTGCCTCTGTCTGCGGACCTCTCTCACTGTCCAGTAATCGCGAACCGTCTCTCTGTCAGTCACAATATCATTCACTGCATTTCTGGTGCATCCATCGATAGCCGTGATACTGACCAGATGTCACCAGTTGATGCTCAATGACTTTGAACAGCCGCATGTGTTTTATTATTAATCTTCCACAGTCCGTTTAGGATAAACTAAATAGAGGCTTCTGAAGCGGATTCTAATCATAAACGGAGAGACCGTTTGCATTTTAACGCGATTACTACCACAGCATTATTGCTGGCTACTTCATGGATGTGGTCACTGTCTGTAGGCAAAATCTTCACATAATCTGCAGGTAGAGGATGACCCATGGTCATGGATCTATAATAGGGATGACCAGAGACCGTTCCAGACAACAACACATACGAGTTTTCAACTGCACATGCGCAGTTGAAAACTCGTAATTTTGACTTTTAAAGTCAAAATGTTGACTTTTAAAGTTAATGTTGACTTTCTGTAGGCTATTTTTTTTTTTACATGGCGGAAACGACCTCCATACCAACCTGCTCCACCAAACAAATAAAAGAAATAAAAATGTTAATAAATCATGTATATGGTATGAGCAAATATGGCGCCCTGATGCAAAACGTCAATATACTTTTGTCTTTTGACCACAGAGCAAATGTATGATGCACTCACTGACTACTTCCACTGGGCTAAATTGAAATCCCTCAACTTTTCAATATTGGAAAGCTGCAGACCCGGAGCCGAGGCAAATCTACCGTGAAGCAAATCCACCGTGATAGTGCGCCCTCTGCTGGTAAAGACAGATATACGACGGTATTTATTTCACGTTTTACAGTTGTATTGTTGGGATTATTGTGTGTAATTTACAATGTGGTGTAACTTAGTTTACATGTACTATTATTTTGGTTATTTTATTAAATTAAAATGTTATGTTTTACTCCAATATTTCATTGTATTTTGTAGGACAGTGCCTTCATTTGTTCATAATAATAAGGAACAAGGGACAGAGACAATATTTTGGAACAAATTAACATTTTTATTGTGGTAACTAACCAGCCATTGCTGTAATCAGTACAGAAAACGAGAGAAATCATTGGGTTAATAATGTTAGCTTGCAGATTCCATTACAAAGTAAAAAGTAAAATGTGTACCTTCAGGGTCTTCCCTGTTTCCTGAATTCAACAGAAATCCTTCTGTTGAATTCCTCAACTTCACAAAAAAAAAAAAAAAAATGTAAATAATGTGTAAAAATCAAATGTATGTTTGGAAGGTTTCTTGTAAAAAAATCTGAAATAATCTGAAATAAAATAAAATAACCTTTGTTCATAAATGGCTCCCTGGAGGTACGCCTCTTTTGCCTCCTTCCAGGGTATGTTTTTCAGTTGGCAAATTCCATGAATGATTGCCTGTACAAGTAACAATAAAGTAAACATCAAAACTAAAACAGTAACATTGTCACACTTTTTGGATGTACCTCTGGAAACATGAGAGGCCACATCTGTGAATGGTAAATCCTGAAAATGAAATGAAATAGCAGGATATTAATGAATGTCTTACAAATATGTAAATTGTCAAAACATTTTTGAAGTTACCGTCATAATTGACAGATCTAGTGAAGTGCATTTTAAGGTGACGCTTCACTCTTCCCAGCTCTGTCGGCTTGAAATGATTCGGACCACAGAATGGACAGTGGAAATCACTGCAGCAATCTGTGCACCTCTTTATCTCAGGCAGGGAATCATTGTCCTTTCGTATTGTAATATCCATCTGAGGGGAAGAATAATGTACATTTTATTTTTATTTCAAATTAACATATGAATAATTCTGGGCTAATAATGATAATAATAATAATATGGTCAAAACTAGTCTGGAATAACATATACATGCAACAATGTGCCATTAATAATGGTGCAATTTTTTTACATTGTATTTGTCCTTCATTCATCCAGGATAAAGCTCGTTGAGATTAAAAATCTCTTTTTCAAAAGTGTCCTGGCCAAGATTCTTTAAAATTAAAATATGCAATAATTTGCCACAGAAAGTAAAGGTATACCCTTGATATATATGAATAATTGAATGTTTTGGGTAGCCTATGTAATTGGGATTATGTATTGTGTTTTACTAATTTACAACTAGTTTAAACGCTAGCTTTAACGCTATTTTAAGACGAAAATTACGTCTCATCTTTGGGGGGGGAATCAAGTAATTCGTATGTTGTTTAAAGTGTTAGCTTTAGCAAACAACAGAAGCATCTACGATTTCAAAAATGTGTTCATAAGAAATTAAAAATGAAATAACTCGATTAAAGTCTACTCACGTTCGTTGACTTGATCCAAATGAATATTCCCAAGAGCTAAGACCGTCGTATATCTGCCTTTACCAGCAGAGGGCGCACTATCACGGTGGATTTGCTTCACGGTAGATTTGCCTCGGCTCCGGGTCTGCAGCTTTCCCCTACTCCAACTTTTCAACGTTGGCGTCTCTGAAGTGCGTGGCGTTGTCCTGCAAAACGAAGAGTTGTATTTATAGTGCTAATTTGGCTTGACCATGTCGGTTATGGTTGGTAAAAAAAAAAAAAAGAAAAATGTTTAAACTGATTTCTTTGGTCAAATTAGTGTATTCATATTGTTGCTCACGTATTTTGCTTTAGACTTTGCTTCATATTTACTCTCAAAATTAATGCTCAAGTGTAGAATTTTTCAGAAATTTATATTTTTCCATGCAAAGCATTCTGGGTAGCGTCACTGCTTTGCCCATACATTGTGTTTTCAATCAACACGGGTTGATTTTTTTCAGGTGTTGGCGCTATGACAATAAATCATGTAAATGATATGAGCAAATCTAGATGTATACTGTTCCCACTCAATGAATTAATTACCTGAATACACCGTGTATATATTTCTGTTTTTAACTATCCATCCATCCATCCATTTTCTACCCTTTAATCCATTTCTGGGTCAGGGGGTGGCAGTCAGAGATGCCACCCAAGTCTCATAGCACCAGCCCCTCACTGACCCTCTGCAGGTGGTGAGTCCACAGGAGGACAGCTACTCTCTGAGTGTGAGCATAGCCTTGATCTTTCAGTGGGGTTTTTAACTAGTTCTCGCTGAAAGTTGACATTGTTAGCTAAGAACTACTACTTTTGAGTTCATTTTAATTACTAAAGCCAAAAATCCTTTTTGTGAGTGCTCGCATTACTCGCTTGGTGCTGAAAGACCCATGTGCGCGGGGATTCTCGCGATACTGCAGACTAAACAAGAGTAAATTCACGTGGACTACCCATAAATCTTCCCCATAGAACTGGTATGGTATGGTTTTTATTTTTACAGGGACAGTGTACAATAAACATTAGCCAGAAGGAGAGATGCATTGTACCAGGTTATAGCAGCAGTGGTAATTTACACCTGTAGTCCCTGAGCAGGTTGTTGTAAAACAGTAAAATAAAAGTAGATGGATACATTACATTAACTCAATGTATAGTCATACAGCTCGACCTCAGCTGGCATCTCCAGCTTTCATAAAGGTCAGATTTTGTGGGGATTTTAGTGTCCTTTGTCATCCTGAATTTGTTCCCTCTTAAATCCTTTGTTTTTCTTGAAATCTACACTTTAGGGCCACAAACGCTGCTCGTTTGGCTCCCGTTCTAACTACCGCGCTTGTTCTGCTCTGAAAAAATTGTGAGTAGGTCCTGTTGAAAACGGTACTGTCAATCTGATTGGGATGAAGTCGGTGGCTAGCAATCACCAAGCTCACTGCACGCACATGTGTGCTTTCGGATCCACAAAAAAATCAACCTGCTCTAGGACAACCATATCGCTGTCTGCTCCTACCACCGACTAGAGCTCCAGTGTTTACAGTGTAGGAGAAGCCCTCTCCTCACCCCCCGTGAGGGTGTCAACCATAACTCCATGGTGTCAACGCCAATCAAGGACTATCTCGGTTCAGAGTGCTGACCGTGGGACTCGAACCCCAGACTCCCGAACCGCGGTTTACATTGGCGGGTTGACCCGTGTTACCCACGTCGCCGTGGCGATCAACCGTTTAAATGCGGGTCGGATGTTATATTTAAAGCTGATTTGCATTGTAGGTGGAAATTACGGCGCCCCGATGCGAAACTTCAATTACTTTTATCTTTTGACCACAGAGAAAATGTATGACGCACTCACTGACAACTTCCACTGGGCTAAATTAAAATCCTTCATTTATTTTTTTAACGTTGGCGTCTCTGACGTGTGTGCCGTGGCCGTGGCAACGCAGAGTTTGATTTCATCTGCTACTTTGGCACAACCATGTCGGTTATGGTTAGTAAAAAAAAATACTAAATGTTTAAAATCATTTCTTTGGTCATATTGCTCTATTCATTGTTGCTCACGTATTTTGCTTGCTATGCACAAAACTATAATTACGCACATTGCACGGACCAGGAGATTGAGACCATTATGAACGAAGTGGGAAAAAGAATAAAGTCTTACTATTTGGAATTCTCAAAAGTGGCATCAAGGGTGTGTGTGTCATGTGACTGTTAAAGACACATGTGTGTGTCATGTGACTGTTATAGACACATGTGTGTGTCATGTGACCCAGGACTGAGGCTGTAGATCCAGGACTGAGGCTGTAGACCCAGGACTGAGGCTGTAGACCCATGAGGCTGTGCTGCTGTGACCTAAAATGCAGTTGCATTTTAATACTATTGTTAGCTATTTTTCTAATTATCTATGTATTAGTTTTGTTTGATAGATAGATAGATGGATACTTTATTGATCCCCCGTAGGTGAAATTCAGGTGTCCGGCAGCAGAAACACATCCTACCATACAAACACCTCATATAGGACCGAGGCTGTAGACCCAGGATTCTGTAGAAGATCCAGGACGGGATCAAAATCAACGCTTTTGCAAATTTCCCCCAACAATCGAAGTAGCCAGAAATAATGTTGTTTGATTGATTCTGTAAAACGTTCCTGTTTAAGCCCCAGACCGCGGTCGTAGGACGCAGGGAGGAGCTGTCTTTTTATTTATTTATGTTAAATTCAATTTACATGTATACAACATTTAAATCAAACGACTTCTTATTTCGACACAGTAACAAATAATTTGAGCAATATGATTTTATAATAAATCAAAGGAAAATGAGCCATCGAGACATTCCAATCCAATCTGCTATAGACCATTCTGACCAGACGATGGCGCTGAGAGGGGTCCACACGGAGCGAGTCTTTCCACGGCTGAAAGGATGCGCTTTCTATACGTGTTGAGTACGGGGTTTTATTCATGCATCTATAATGGGTTTAACTCCCTTTTCAAAGACCCTCACTGTTATCTGCGGAGTTATTTCTCCGGATTGTTGCTAAAAGAGTCGTGGGCTTTATTTTGTCACAATAAAATAATCAGACAAAGTACTTATTCCCTGTATGTCTCTCTGTGTTCTTGCTCATACGCCAACAACTTTACCCGCACGCTCGCTCCATCAGCTCACCCCCGCGTGCACGCAAACACGTCACATACTCTTCAATGCACTGATCGCAATTCCAAAAGGGTAACATTGTCAGTGCCCGTGACTGTGGTTCTCCTGCCTCTGTCTGCGGACCTCTCTCACTGTCCAGTAATCGCGAACCGTCTCTCTGTCAGTCACAATATCATTCACTGCATTTCTGGTGCATCCATCGATAGCCGTGATACTGACCAGATGTCACCAGTTGATGCTCAATGACTTTGAACAGCCGCATGTGTTATATTATTAATCTTCCACAGTCCGTTTAGGATAAACTAAATAGAGGCTTCTGAAGCGGATTCTAATCATAAACGGAGAGACCGTTTGCATTTTAACGCGATTACTACCACAGCATTATTGCTGGCTACTTCATGGATGTGGTCACTGTCTGTAGGCAAAATCTTCACATAATCTGCAGGTAGAGGATGACCCATGGTCATGGATCTATAATAGGGATGACCAGAGACCGTTCCAGACAACAACACATACGAGTTTTCAACTGCACATGCGCAGTTGAAAACTCGTAATTTTGACTTTTAAAGTCAAAATGTTGACTTTTAAAGTTAAAATGTTGACTTTCTGTAGGCTATTTTTTTTTTTACATGGCGGAAACGACCTCCATACCAACCTGCTCCACCAAACAAATAAAAGAAATAAAAATGTTAATAAATCATGTATATGGTATGAGCAAATATGGCGCCCTGATGCAAAACGTCAATATACTTTTGTCTTTTGACCACAGAGCAAATGTATGATGCACTCACTGACTACTTCCACTGGGCTAAATTGAAATCCCTCAACTTTTCAATAATGGAAAGCTGCAGACCCGGAGCCGAGGCAAATCTACCGTGAAGCAAATCCACCGTGATAGTGCGCCCTCTGCTGGTAAAGACAGATATACGACGGTATTTATTTCACGTTTTACAGTTGTATTGTTGGGATTATTGTGTGTAATTTACAATGTGGTGTAACTTAGTTTACATGTACTATTATTTTGGTTATTTTATTAAATTAAAATGTTATGTTTTACTCCAATATTTCATTGTATTTTGTAGGACAGTGCCTTCATTTGTTCATAATAATAAGGAACAAGGGACAGAGACAATATTTTGGAACAAATTAACATTTTTATTGT